TCCCCCCAGTTTGTACTACCAGGAATTTGTGCTGGAGCTCCCTAGTGCACAGAAAGAACATGCCTGTTGCTACACGCTTCCAATGGAGGCACCATACTGCCCACTGAGAGCCTGGGAGCAGAGCTGACCTGTGCATGGAGGGCAGGGGAACAAGGATGATGACCTCCTCTCCATCCCCTTTAGGGCATCAGAGGGTGCATAGAGGCAGCAGCCTCTGCCCCACTGTCACAGGTGTGCGGGCAGGGCACTTAAACGAGATGGAAAGTTCCTTGTGTGCATCTCCTCCACGGGCCGCGGAAAGAGCCTGGCAATATCTGGCCCTTCAATTACATTTTGCTTCACCCTGAACAGTTAAAACAATATTTGGTGGCTCTCCCACTGTCTGCAGACGGGCGAGCTGGCTGACCCAGCAGCCCAGGGAAAAGCTCAAAAGGCAGAGGGAGAAAAGGGGGGGGGATCAGGGGGAATCGTTCACCCACAGCTGGATCTTCCGAGAGTTCATTCAAAGGAAGGCTCAGCTGGGAGTTTAAACCCTGACCTGACTTTGCCGTCCAAGATCTCCCATACGTAAATCAGGGTGGGGTGGATCATCTGGAACCCATATTCAAGGGATGACATCAGTGGCAGGTGGGGTATTTGTAGGGCTGGAATTCATCATATCACACTAAGTCCTACTTCCCTTACTCATAGGAATTGTCCCCTGGGTCTCCCGGACTCCAGCAAGCCTCCTGGTGCAGGGTTGAGTCTCTCATACGCCACCCAAAGGGAAACACTTGGATGCACTGTCAGATGTAAACTTTCGGGGTTGTTTTAAAACAAAACCATATTATTTATGGGCATACATTGAAGCAGCTCTAGGGGAAACATCTGTATTTCATTTACTTGTCGCTGCTTTGAATAAAAATTGAAGTGGACGTACATAATGTAAACCTCTTAGAATAATGAAAGCTTGATTCCCAGTTGCTCCTTTCCTGCACGGGGCGGAGGGGGAGGCAGAGATGAAGAGAGGGGATTAAGTGGCTTTAAGTATATTCTGGGGCGGTGCAGGGCTCTGCCTGCCCTTTGGTATAAGTCAGAGTAGCCTCAGGGTGGCTCTAATTTACATGCTGCTTCCCAATCTCACGGCTCTCATTAGCTCTGAGATGCAATGAACAGCCATAGTGCTGTCCAGTCCAGCCACGCCCCTGATCTATCTCCTGTGCTGGGACCTGGAAGCCAGGCAGGGGTTGAGCACTTCACCAGCTTTTCACTGGCCAGGTATTCTCAGAGGGCCATTTTCATCCCTTTGAGGTTCCTTCACGTTACAGTGGTTTTAATGTCACTGAGAATCATGCCCTGAGACTTTAAAAGCCTGTGAGTAATAAGGGGACATGGCCAAAAAGTCTCTGTGAAAGGACCGTTATTAAAATGGCTAATGATGGGTACTGTAGGTGCTGCTGCAAGAGTTGGCAATCAACTCTTAGAAAACCAGAGGGGCAAACCCTGCTCTCCGTTACATCGTTACCTTCCAAGGAGTTGGACCCGTGCAGCTGGGGGTGGACAGGAGTGTTTGGGCTCAAAACCTGGGAAAGTGAGCAGAGCCGAGAAAAAATAACTAAAATGTAACTCCTGCACACAAACACAAGCCCCTCGATGCATGGGCCTGGGGAACAGAAACAAGGGCACTTCCTGATGATGTCGGGGTTCTGATTCATCAGCCTTGATTTACAGTAAGGTAGGATTCCCTTTCATTTCCTGGTTCTGGGACTTTTGTTGCTGTGTTGGTTTAGCGAAAGAAAGGGGGCGGGGGAACCACAATAAAATTGCCAGTAGTTTGCAAGCTCCTTGAGTTGCACCTATGTGGACTGGCTCCACAACGTAGTTACTGCCCTTGAATAAGGTGACCAGTTCCTAACCATCCTTGACTGAGATCACTGGAATCCAGCCACCTTGGATGGAAGCTTTGCAAAACCAGCCACCCTTGACCCAAACCTCCTGACCACCCATGGGTAGTGGGCCACCCCTTCATCTTTTATTGTCACTCTTCTCTCTCGGGGGTGAAATCCTGGCCCCAAGGACGTGAACAGCCAAACCCCCACTGACTTCAATGGGGCCAAGGTTTCACCCATCACCTTTTAATTGCATTGTCTCGCCAAAGAAAATGCTTCTGGCAACCTTTCCTCCCCTCACCTTGATCCCTCCCCATTTCGTCATAACATATATGCCCATAAGACCCTCTGTTCCCTGCAGAAGTCAGTAAAACTAGGATACTGGGCAGGACATTTCTTCTGTGATTATTTTTATTCGTGCAGCACTTTTCATTCTCAAAGCACTGTACAAGGATTAATCAATCCTCACAACCCTCCCGAGAGGAAGGTAATTTTAGCCCTGTTGTACAGATGGGGAAAGTGGAGCACAGAGAGTTTAAAGAGACGTGGCAAAGTCACACAAAGCGAGTCTCCAGGCCTCCCCACCCTCAGTCTTGTGTTTAATGCACCGGCGCCACAATTTGTGACCAGATTCTCTTCTCCCCTGTGCAGCACTCAAAAGTACCTGAGAACTTTTTGCTGAAACTTTCTATAAACAAACTCACCCCTGGGCTGGGAATGGGAGTAAATTCAGCCCCAAAGGAATTTATTTGTCAAATTTATGAGCAACTGGAAAAGGAGGATTATAGCAGGAGCTGCATTTCAACTTTCACAGGTGCCACTAAAGCTGATTTTATCTGCAGTAACGTACAAACTTCAGGCCCAATCCTTGCTCATATTGAACGCCCATTCAAGTCAACAGGATTTGGATAAAGACACATGGCCAAATTGTCTCAGCCCCAGGAAACTCCCACAGGGCCAAATCCTGTTCGTACTCACAAAAATCCACCAACTTCAAAGGAGTTTTGTACGTGTGGCTAGAGAGATATTTCAGTGGAGTGACACGAAGGATAAATTTGGCCCTACGTAGCTATCACTTTATTTCTATTTTGTTAACGTTGATCTTTCAATGTTAATCTTGTTCTCCATTATTTACAGTCCACTATCACTGATAATAATCACACTTGCGAAATAGTCACAAAAGAACGTTTGGCCTGATTTTCAAAGGTGCTGGAACTTGCCGTGCTCATGGACTGTAATGGGATCTGTGGGAGCTGGGCACTTCTGATAATCTGGCCAGTAACTAATCATTCTTGGTTAAGGAAAGATCAGCATCTGCTGTTATTCAGGGAGGTCGTGGGGAGAGGAGAGAAAGAACATTTCATTACCACATTTTCTATAAACCAGGTTTGTCAAGCTTTATTTGTATGCCTGTGAAATCACAAAGTGATTATGCATTGCATAGGGTACAGTTCCAATAAATAAATAACTATTTACAAATGTGCCGCATTTACAAAACTGTGGATTGAACCATTTACAGTATGAAAGCTAGATTTCATGTAACACATTTCTTCTTCTCTTTCTTTTTTTCAAAAGTTGAAATGTACTTTGATCATTCTGACATATCAGGAAAAAAATAATACCATGTGATAGCAGTCTCACTTTGTATGTACCTACAGTTATTTTCACCCAAAAAGAGGAAGATTAGAAAAATCAAGTATCAGTGGGTAGCCGTGCTAGTCTGTATCTACAAAAACAACAAGGAGTCTGGTGGCACCTTAAAGACTAACACATTTATTTGGGTATAAGCTTTCATGGGTAAAAACCTCACTTCTTCAGATGCATGATTTTTTTGTAGAAAAATCAAGTTTCTCAATCTCTTAACAGTAAACTTTCTTAAGTACAACCAGCTGGTAGCCTGCATACTTCTTTATCAATCAGTTCATTTGCAAGCCGTCACCTATATCTCTGGGTTTGCTATCCCAGAATTGTAAAATGTACTGCTAGAAAACAGCACTGCTGCATATCAATATTTCATAGGCACGGGACCCTATCCGGTAGAGCTCAACCATGCTCCTCTTGAAGCCAATGTCAAAGCTTCCATTGGCTTAATAGAAGCAGAAAAAGGCCCTTAGAGTCCTCTCAGCATTTGGGCTTATTTTCTCCCACAATCTCATGAAGGTTGTACTACCCGATTCCTTTGAACACTGGTCTGACCCTAGGCTTTTATAGCCTCCTAACCCTTCATCTCAACACTTGATAAAAGGATCTGGAAAGGAAAATGTGAAATATTTTTTTCAGATTTTGCCCACTATAGTACTGGATGGCAGACAGAGGACCTGAGCCTGCTCCCATTGAAGTCAATGGAAGTTTTGCCACGGTGTGGGCAGGTTTGGGCCCATAGCAACCATCTGGACAGGGGCCGAGGGATTTAGCAGCACTGGGCAAAAATGCCCTGCCATCATGTTAATAGGCAGCAGATTTAAAACAACAAAAGGAAGTATTTTTTCACACAATGCACAGTCAACTTGTGGAACTCCTTGCCAGATGATGTTGTGAAAGCCAAGACTATAACAGGGTTTAAAAAAGAACAAGATAAATTCATGGAGGATGGACAGGGATGGTGTCCCTAGCCTGTTTGCCAGAAGCTGGGAATGGGTGACAGGGGATGGATCACTTGATCAGGGCCAGCTTTAGCAAGTGCGGGGCCCGATTCCTGGGGCTTGTACTCACTGGGCGGCGCTCCCAGTCTTCGGCGGCACTTCAGATTGCCGGCCAGGGGAGCGGGGCCGTGGGGCTTGCCGCGCTCTGGCCGGGGTCGTGGGGCCGGGGGCTCTTGCCGGGGTCGTGGGGCTGCCGCGCTCCGGCCAGGGTCGCGGGGCCGCCTCGCTCCAGCCCGGAGCTCCAGGCTGCGGGGCTTGCAGCGCTCCGGCTGGGGTCGCGGGGCTGCCGCGCTCCGGCCGGAGCTCCAGCAGGAGAGTGGGGCTGCCGAAGACCCCGGAACGGACCGCCGCCGGGGTGAATAAAAAAAATTTAAAAGGCGCCTAAGGCGCAGGGCCCAATTCCAGGGAATCGGGCGAATCGGCCTAAAGCCGGCCCTGCACTTGATGATTGCCTGTTCTGTTCATTCCCTCTGGGGCACCTGGCGTTGGTCACTGTCGGAAGACAGGATACTGGGCTAGATGGACCTTTGGTCTGACCCAGTATGGCCGTTCTTATGTTCTTATCAACAGGAGAATATGAACTGGTTTTGTTAATGATGTTTTAACCTGAGAGTGAGAGAAGGGGAACAAAACCTCTAGAGGAAATGTGACTGGAAGACACAACCATCAAATGGGAAGGCTTTTCCAACATAGCAAGAATGACACACCATTGACAGTCCATGTACCCAAACACCTGCTCCCCTCAAAACCAAAAAACCTGTAACAAACAAACAGCAACCAAATAAGCAGAGTTCTGACCCTGAAAGGGGGAAGGGGCAGAGATTCCATAAAGTCCATTAGGGGCTTTGCTTTTGCTATTGATTTTACATGAAGGGTGCTCAGATACTGTGGTAATGGGTGGCAGAACAAACCCCTAAGACAGATAAATGTGGGGAGCTGCAATTTCTTACAGATAACAAAGAGGACAGGACGATGGAAGGTAGGGGAAGAACTGATGGAAAGATCTTTGCTACTTGTTAGTAATTAGCAGTTTTTTAAAAATAAGCCAAACCTATGTCTGTCGCAGGAGCATTCCAACTCTTCCTGATTGCTCAGTAGCTCCAGTCTGATGTGGGAAAGAACTCATGACACTGTCTCTGGATGAAAGTCGCTTTCACCACACCACTTCAAAGTCTATTACTGTTGAATAGTCAGTTGCATATATTCTCTTCTTTTATAGTCAGATTTCAATAGTCAGTTCCAAACAAGGGCAGTTTTCTCAATGCACAAAATATAATAAAGTTCTCTCTTTAAACCCCACAAAGATCGCCAAGTCTGGAAAAGGGGGGAAATCAAAAAGGCATCTACTGGTTTCTTTAAAGCTGCAGAAATGGGATTAGCTCAGCATTATATGCTTTGCCATTCTGTTTTCTCATCTCTTGCAAAGCATATTTTTCTGCAGCTAGTTTAATAACTTTCCTTGAAAATTTTTCATCAGAAATTTGAAAAATTCCAACCAATTCCATCTTTCTCCTTTCAATCCAATGGGATTATTTACAGTTTCTGGTTAGCAGAGGGGCATCCTGGGGGGACTTGCTGCAGCACCACTTCCTTTTCGGTCCTGTTGCTACATTTATAATCCATGGCTCCATGAACTGGGAAGTGCTTCTTCATCAGGTGGTAGAGAATGGCCATCAGGACCAAAATTGTGGACAAGATGCCAATGCTGATTCCGATCAGCACTCCGGGGTGGAGGCTGTCTGGCTTCGGTGGGACAGGGGTGGGAGCTGCTGTTTTCGGGTAGAGCTCCGTCTCACCTGAAAACTCATCCTCAGAAATACACAAGTTCTGTTTGTAGAGTCTGTACCCCTCCCGGCAATGACACGTGTAGCTGCCTGGCTTATTCGTGCACAGCTGCTCACAAAATTCTATCTCACACTCGTCGATATCAACACACATCTTTGCACTACCATTGTAGTGATCCAGAACAAAGCCATCCGGGCAGTAGCACGTATCCTGTGTATGGGGGTCACAGTCTGCCGGGCATTCCGTCTGGTTGCAAAACAGGACACATTTATGGGGATCCTGGGGGGATGGGGCGTATCCACTAAAGCAGCTGCAGGTGTAACCCCCTGCCACGTCCACACATTGGTGCTGACATTTCTCTTCGTAGCAATCGATCACGTCCTCACATTTGCCGTCCACCAGCTCATAGCCCGGGTGGCACTGGCAGCGGAAGCCCCCGTCGGTGTTGATGCACCCTTGGTCGCAGAGGTCCGGTTTGGTTTGACAGTCATCGATGTCTCTGCAGCTGATGCCATCCCCCGCCAGCTGATAGCCCTCGTGGCACATGCAAGTGAAGTTCACGGCGAGCGGGATGCAGAGGTGCTCGCAGGGGGCGTCGGCACACAGGGAAGAGCAGCCGCGTTGGTCCCGGTCCAGCTGCTTCTCCGGGGGGCAGGTGCAGCGCGGGGTCCCGCCGTCCCACTGGCACGAAGCCTCGCACCCGCCGTTCTCCAGCTGGCAGTGCCAGGCCCCGGGGCTGGCGGAGCTCCACCGCATGCCCCCGCTGCTGTGCTCCTGGCACACCAGCTCCACGCCCAGGGCCGGGGCCGAGGCAGTGCTTTGGGGAGGGAGGGCCAGGAGGTCACTGTCCTGCGCCCCGAAGGGGGTGGTGTAGGTCACCGCCAGGCCCGCCACGGGGGCGAGCTTGGGGCACGTGCCGGGGTAATTGTACTCACACAGGAAGCCGTCTGCTTCGGAGTCACACCGCTTCTCCTCCCAGGTGAGATCCGGGGCCGCCACGGCGACGCACTGGGACCCGCAGACGGGGCCGCCCGGCTTCCATCGGTTGTAGTCCGTGCGCTCGTCGCCCGTGACCCAGCGGAACCCCCGCAGCGGGCGGCCGGGGTCCGAGCACGCCTGGCCCGGGGGCAGCTGCAGCCCGATCCACAGGCTGGCGTCGCTCCGGTTCTGGACCAGCAGGGCGATGGCGGCCTCCGCCACGGTGGAGCGCACGGTCATGAGCTGCCCCCCGCGGGCCTGGCAGAGCCGGCTGGCGCCGGGGAACCGCTGCCGCCCCCAGAACACGCCGAAGCAGACGTGCTCGATGCACTGAGCGCCCGCGGGCGGCGGCTGGGCGGGAGCCGAGCGCCCGAGCTGGGCCGTGGCCACCAGCGCCAGGCAGAGCCCCAGCATGGTGCGGGCCGGCGGAGCTGAGCCCGGGGCTGGCTGTGGGGGGGCTGCCGGCGAGCAATCCGCGGCTCCCCTGCACGCCGGGCGCTGGGAAATCTCGGTCATGCCTCCGCTCGCTCGGTGCCCACGTTTTTATAGGGGCGCTGCAGCGCCGGACGCGCCGGCCGGGGCTGGGATCGCCCCCAGCCGCCGGAGCAAATCACGGGCACCCGAGGGGCGGAGGGAGGGAGGGTGGGGGACTCATTGTCTGCAGAGGGAGGGGGGGAAGCGGGTGGGAGGAGGGCCCTGGTGGAAAACAGTCAGCCCCCCTCCGCCCTCTGAACTCGCCTGCCCCTGGAATAACAGCCTGGCCCCTCGCCGCCCCAGGGAGTCGGCCGGATTAGGCGTGGGGGGACACCCAGCGCGCCCCACCCGAAGCGGGGCTTTCGGGGATCTGGGCCCAAGCCCTGAACAGTGCTTTCGCGCAGCCAGGAGAGGGGGCGCCAGGAGAGACCCGTTTGGATCCAGGGCCAACGGAGGAGGTTAGTTGTGGGAACTCGAAGTGGATCGCAACTCTGCCTTTTGGTCCAGGTGCGAACTGCTGCGTGTGGACGCGTCCCCTGCGACTTGCAAAGAGCCGATTGCCCAGTACGGATCTGCCAGGCCTGGGCAATCGGCATGTGTCCCTGCCACACGCCCGACTAAACGCTTTAAAACCCGATCCCAGCTCCCCTTCCCCAAATGCATGAGAAGTTAACGGTGCCTCCTTCCCGGGGGCGCGGGGTAGAACAGAGGATTGGTGTTGGATATGGATTGACTCCGGGCGGGATTGCCTGTTTGGTGGGGAGCCCATGTGACTTTAATAGCCCCTTCTTATTTCATCAGATTGGATATTATTGCTCGTATGTATCGTATTATTAGGGCAAAGATCCCGAGCATTAAACGGGAGCCTCGCGGCACAGAGTGGAGGATTTATTAAGGGGGTGTAACGAAAACCAGAGGGAAAAAGTGGAAATGGTTGTAGACTAGGGACTGTATCATGGGAGCTGTAGGCCCAGCCGGGGGCGCTGCTGAGTTCCCCAGAGTCACTGCCAGGGGGACAGAAATCGATTTCCCTGGACAAGGTTTAGGAAGCAAAGCACACGCCGCAGAGCTGAGCTGTGGACTGGACCCGCCTTGTTGAGCTATCAGACCAGCAGGCAGGTCCGTGCGTTTTGCTTCAGCCTCTGCAGATGGGATGGCCTTTGCCTGGTCCACGTTCCCCGCTGAAAAGTGAGGGAAGGAACTGGGTTCTTTCTAGGGGAGCTGAAGTCTTCTCCCTGGCTTTTGCAAACGAATTCCGCCCGCGTGTTTAGGGCTCTTCCCAGCCCGCCCGTGGAAAAGCGAGCCAGCAACCATACCAAACCCATCCCCGAGGCTGATGAACAACAGCAGCTGCAAGTGTCGCTAACATGAACACAGGGAGGGGTACGGAACAGCTGATTTGGAGGGTGGTGAAGCACTGGAATGGGTTACCTAGGGAGGTGGTGGCATCTCCATCCTTAGAGGTTTTTAAGGCCCGGCTTGACAAAGCCCTGGCTGGGAGGGATGATTTAGTGGGTGTTGGTCCTGCTTTGAGCAGGGGGTTGGAGTAGATGACCTCCTGAGGTCTCTTCCAAGCCTGATATTCTATGATTCTGTCAGTTTCTTCTGGGGTGATTTTGTGTTGTCTAAAATTACTCCACCCCCCCTCAGTGTCCTGTCCTAACTTAAATAAAAATAATTAATGTACTCCCAGCCCCCAAATCTGGACATTTCTTCCTCATAAAGGGATCGCCAGTGAGGTTTCTCTCAGCCCTAAAGACTTTGTATGCAGTGTCCATGCAAGTCTGCGACCTGCAATTATTCATCATTATACCAATGATTCGAAAGGGGAACACTTGGAAGCTGGCAAGGTGCTGTTCCAGCTGCCTGAGTCTGCTCCAGACACTGCAGCAGGAATTGGGAGTTCTGATTCCCATTCACCCTGTTCACTCTGCGAGAGTGTAGGCCTGGGGGGGGGGGGCACTTCTGGTTTCCCAGAGCTGAAATATGATTCTGGACTGGGAGTGCTGATTAAACAGCATGACCGGGGATCGCCTTGTGCCTGTCAAGAGGAAAAGGTCACATCCTTGCTGCCTGACTGGAGCCACATGCGTCAGCCTGCGCAGCCCCGCCAAGCAGGAGTTCCGGGGCGGGGGTGCCGTGTTCGGGAGGTCAGGAATACCCCTCCTTGCGGGCAGGGCAGTCCGGAGTGGCTCAGATGTGCGTAGGCTGACCAGACAGCAAATGTGAAAAATCGGGACAGGAGGTGTGGGGTGGTAATAGGAGCCTATATAAGAAAAAGACCCAAAAATCGGGACTCTCCCTATAAAATCGGGACATCTGGTCACCCTAGATGTGCGCCAGAGGCACAGGCTGGAAAGGGAAAGGTTCCCCTCTCTTCCCAAAGCACAAGAGCACCAGCCCACAGCATGCAAGGGAGCTGGTCCCCTGCCCGGCCAGCGCAGTGCAGTCTGGAGCAGCAGGAAGTTTCACTACGGACAAAGGGTAAGATCGTCCCAATGCGTTTTGAAGCAGAACTTCCCCTTGAGTTTTATGGGGAGCGCTGCCCCACACTGGATTGGACCAAACCAGGCTTGAAGATCATAGCAGGTGTTGTGAGGAGAAATACATTAAAAGTTGCAAAGTGCTTGGAGCTGTACTGATGAAAAGCGCTAGGTAAGAGGATTATCACTATGATTCAATAATCCACTGCACATCTCTAGCTTCTTCCAGCCAAGGCTCTCAAAGCTCAGGAGCCAGCTGTATCTATCCAGATTATACCTCCATCTGTGTCTCTCTATGTATCATTCATAGTACACGGGTTCCTCTGATAAATTATAACCTTCTACCTTTGTTGTTATATGACAGTAGTGTCTAGAGGTCCCACCCAAGATCAGGGCATTCAGGAGATCTGCATGCTATTCCCAGCTCTGCCACTGCTTTCCTGGGTGACCTTGGGCAAATCACTTCGCCTCCCCATGCCTGTTTCCCCCGATTAAAATAGGAACAATGATATTTACCTCCGTTGGAAGGTGCTTTGAGATCTATGGATGAAAAGTGCTACAAGAGAGCTAGATATTATCATTATTGTGCTAGGCACAGTACGTGCATAGAGCTAGAGACAGCCCCAAAGAGTTTACAGGCTAAACAGACAAAGGATAGGAGAAAGGAAGTGCTATTACCCTCATTTTACAGAGCGGGAACCGAGGCACAGAGAGATTAAGTGACTTGCACAAAGACACACAGGAAGCCTGTGTCAAAGACAGGGATTTAGCTCAGATCACCAGAGTCCCAGTCCAGTGCCTTCACCACAAGCTCATCCTTGCTCCACACCATATTTCAGGGTGGTGTTATGGGCTATGTGCAGCCCTCACTGTGTGTACACGCACGTCTGCTGTCCAAAGGCTTGAGAAACTGATTTAAACTCACTGAACAGAGCCAGCAATGAGGACTGCTTGATACGAATGATAATTAATGGGCAGTTGGGGTCTGAGGAACTAAGCTCAGACTATGTGATCTAATGGTGTCTTCTAGCCTTAAAAATCTATTCACCTATTACATGGTTTGGGGCTTAGGCCATCTGAGTGTCTCAGTCTCAGGCTGCCTCTTTTTATTTGCTCCTCTGGTAGGAGATTTCAGTCCCTCCACAGCTGGGACGCATGCAAAAACAGTATGGGTTCATTTAATATAACCTCTTCCCAGCTGCCATTTTGCTGCTTCCCAGCCCACTACTCTTACAGGGCATACGCCATGTGTCTTGCCGCTGTCCTTACTGGTAGCGGTGGGCATGCAGCGAGCTCAGTTCCCATACTACTGCGCAGAGTACTTACCAACTCCACAGCCTTTCCCGTAACTGACTGGCTATGCAACATTTCAGATAGCAGCACAGTACTACAGTGATAATACTAGTCATACTTCTATATAGCACTTCAGACCTGCACATCTCAAAGTGCTCTACAAAACTGGGTCAGCTCTGCTACCCCCATTACTCCAGAGAGGGTAACTGAGGCACAGAGAAATTAAGTGTCTTGTCCAAGGATATGCAGTCAGTCCTTGAATTGGGAATAGACTCTTACCACACGGGATTGCAGCTGCCTCTGTTACAGAAATATTGTCTTCTGTTAGCCAGCAATTCCTCTCAGCAGGGATAAAAGGTCACTCTGGTACGCCGTGGTTGAGGGGGATTTTACTGAACGTTTAAGTAATAGAAACACTCCAAGACATTCCTTTTAGTTTTGGAGCAGTGTCATATGCAGCAGTGGCTGGTGGCCAATGTAAGTGGGGGTGGGGGTCCATACCCTTCTCCCCCATCTGATTCCCACCCTTCCTAGAGCTTGGCCAGATTTTCACACTGGAAAACCAGGACACTGGAGGGAGGGTTATGGTGGAGGATGATAAATGGAGATACTTCACAGTGAAGGACATGGTGGAAGAACACTGGGTTCCCCTCGGTAGTTCCTTCAGTGCCTTCTAATCTCACTGTCCCTCCACTCTAACCTTTTCCTGCCTGTTGCCCTCATGCCCACCCACATCCCTACACCCATACTCATCATCATCCCCTATTTCACCCCCTCACGCTGCCTTCCCCGTGCTCTTCCTTCCCAGCTCAGAACTCCCCACCCAGTCCCCTTGAGCGCCTTTCCTCCAGCTCAGCCTCCTCTTGTTCAGAAAGTCTCTAGTCCCAGCTCAGGCTCCAGCCCTGCTGCCCCATCTCACCTGCCCCCACCAGGCTCAGCCCCCTCTCCCATGAGGAGGTAAAATCCACAACCCCTCAGGCTAGGATGCCCCCTTCCCCCAACACAGAGACACTCCCCACTGCTCAGAATCTCCCCTGGTTCAACTCTTCCCCCATCCCACCCAGGTTCTGAATGCTCCAGGTACCCTCTCACCCATGCCTGTCTGCTCCATTCTTGTGAACAGGCAGGGAATTCAATTCCAAGGTGCTGCCTCTTCACATGAGCAGCGCCTGCACGCAGTGGATGACATGACAGTTAAGTGCATGCCAGCCATCACAATATGCTGTGCTCCCTAGGTTTGCTCTTGAGGGGTCCCCAGTGAAAAAGCCAGGGGAAAAATTCTGGCTCCCTCAAAATCAATGGGAG